CCTTCAACTGGCCGGTAAGTGAGGCATCCCTTTTGAGTGTGTGTGTCCTCCTCAAGGACACAAATCGTCGTCAATCACACTACGATTTGCAGGGTACCCTGTCGGTGATCGTCGAGGCATGGCACAACGTGTCCGGCCCAACGAACAGCAGCCAATTCGAGGCGGCCAGCGACGGCGTGTCGTCGTCGTCCTCGTCACCAACGACTACAACAGGTACGTACGTCAGTTATTTGTGCATATAAAGAGGTAGCTTATGTCAGACTTAATGTCCGGTCCGCAAACTCGTCGTCGTCCCGAGAGTTGTGTGACTCTCAGGACGGCCGAGCCGACCGGCACCCGAAACTGGTCCTCGACTAGACTCGATCGGCCGCCGCAATGCATGTGTTGAAACGCGCGATCAGTGGCCACTTAGCTGCGTAATTGTGACAAATTCCCGGCCACTTATGATTCTAACTTCTTGACTTTTCCCACAACGCTTTGCTGCCCCCCCCCCAAACTCCCGTTTTGGTATCGTTTTATGCGCACGTACGTCGACGACGGCAATTTCTTCTTCACCTGTTGTTGGGCACGTTAAGTCGTTGACCGTCTTGGTGGTTGTTTTGGGTTGTTTCCGACCACCTGGCCCTACATCCATCGAAATTGTGAAGTTGGTTCGTTGACAGTGAGGAAAAGCTAGAAAATTTCTAAGCATACGGGGGACTTATGGTAATCCTGATTTTCTTCGGCGAGTTTTCTCTGTGTAAATACCCCGTAACCTGAACCATGTCATATTTGAACACCGCGAGGTCGGAACATCACAAATTAATATACGAATTTGTTTGTTTCTACAGAACGCAACGTGGATAAGCAACTGATGTTCCAGTATGCTCAAGGACAGGTGCTGCCTGCAGGAACGACGTGGAAGGAGGAACGACAGGAAGACGAACACGGCGCGATTCAGTTCAAGATACGCGTCCGGTGCGACCCTCACTACTACGGACCGAAGTGCGAGGTTTACTGTCGGCCGAGGGACGTGAAAGACAACCAGGCTCCGCACTACAGGTGCAGCGAAACGGGTGCAAAGATCTGTGTCGAAGGTTGGACCGGACCTGATTGCAAACAAGGTAAGGAAACGGAGCCTCTGCTGGCTTGAGGGATGGATCGTTATAGTTGAGCTGTTTGTTTGACCGAACGTGTGCAACAGGTGGGACCCTACCTGCCGTTTGAGGCTAGGGCCTTTCGTCTAGGCCTCTAGACTTCTAAGCTAAGAGGATGGAAGTGGTCATTCGCTGGCCGCCACCACTATGCCTATGATTTCGTCTCAAAACTCAAGTTTTGAGTTATT